TTTGAATATTTGACTACAATAAAGATATCTAGTGCTAAATGTATGACTTTACTTTTTGGGAACAGAAGACCTTATGGGCCCTGTAATAAAGAGCTGGTGACTAGAAAACATGCTCTTATGTTTCAGTATGTTTTATCCTTTTGAAATAAATAAATCTTTCAGGATACGTTTTGTAAACTTAGATGGGAGTCCTTTTAATGAAGCCAATATTGTACACACCACATACTGATCAAAATTTCAACAATCAGACTTTGTAATATGATTTATAAATTCATTTTTGTAATGTATAAACATATTTTAAATTCTGCATGACAAATGCTAATGGCTTCTGAGGATCTGTAGTTGTATCTAAACTACTACGATCAAGAGCTTTTCCGGAAGGGATATAAGATAGAAACACAAACGTAAATGCAAAGATTATAAAATAACTGAGCATGTGGGATTTCTCAAGATAATTATCACCTTAAGGGCAGCTATAGACTACCACAGTTATTTTTCTCCTTTTATGGCACGTTTTGTATATACAGACGTTTTATAATTTGAAAGTGTACACATTTTCTACATTTTAAATTCACTTTACATATAATTTCGTGTGTGTGTGTGTGTGTGTGTGTGTGTGTGTGTGTGTGTGTGTGTGTATATGTATATATATTTTTTAAATATAGACCTATGTTGGCTAGCCTAATTTAAATAATGACATTAGCATGTCAACTGAAGTCAAAGTTTGTGTCATTTTGTAGGCAGGTCTGTACTCTGGTTTTGACTAAACCATGTATTGGTGGCTTCTACATGGAGGTGACTGAGCTTTATATGCGTCATACTGTTCCCTTTCAAAAACACAATGTACCCTTATAGTTTCAAAGGAACACCGCTTGGTCCAGCTGTTTTTATCCCATGGAAAGTTCTTTCTTAAAAACATGTTCTTTTCACTTCCACCTCATCTATGATTATTTAACTACATGTTTGTGTCTGGCTAGACTGGCTGCAACTCATAAAAATGATAATTCAAGGTTCTATCGTGGTACCCTTGAGATTCCAGTATTTTATTTTTATTTTTTATTGCATTTTCAATGCCTCTATCTAGATAAGACATAAAGCACAGTTTGTTGTAATTATTGTTCCTGAATAAACTGTCACCAGAAGGACTTTTAAAACTGTTTCAGTAGTTCGAGGCCTATATACCAAATATTTGCCCTCCTGTTCTCTTACAAATGAGGGTAGGTCTGGTGAACGGAGACAAGAATAAGCATTACAAGCTGAACATAAAACAATATCTCTTACAGAACTTTGAACAGCGAAGTAGGTAAGTACATTTTTCTGTATCCGTTATAAACTTCTTTAAAGAAGTTGGGTTTTGACAAGTTTAATGGTTGACTGGGTGAAAAGAATCACTTATTACATTAAATCTAGAAAACAAGATGGTCTTTCATGTACATAATAGAAATATTAACATAAACATTTTAAAGTTGATAAATAATATCCATTGTGCATTTTAGGTCTATCTTTATTCCTGTGTTGTTTCTGCTTGACCACTTTGAATTACTGTTCAGTTTTGGAGTGAAAATTATTTTAAAAAATGTGTTTTGTTTAAGGTGAAAAACATTTGGTATGGAATTTCAAATAAGTACTCTTAAAGCTGTAGTTCCTTTGTAAAGAGTAACATATCCATGTGGAAGTCACACCTATAGGGTTATATGCTTTAACTGACCAGCTTATGTTTATAAATATACATGTATCATGCACATTTTTTTTTTCGTTCCTATTTTGTTTCAAAATACTGTTTTTGTCTTTTAATGTTCAATAAAAATAATTTGAAGAGACTGTTGATAAACCTTACTTAGAGCACAAAGTTTTTCTATTACTGATGTTTATTTTAAATGCATTTTATTTTCTCTTTATTGCCATATTTGTCCCTACAATTGTTATTTTGTATTTAATACAGATAAACTACTGATATTAACTGTAGCAACACAAGAGACAGATGGATTTCACAGATTCATGCAGTCCGCAAAGTATTTCAACTACACAGTTAAGGTATGCTTCCAGAACATATACTTCTTGTATTGGGTAGTGCTGACCATATGCGTTTTACATTAAGAATTTTTTTTTTTTTTAATTCTATTACTGCAAAAGTAGACATTACTAAGTGCGGTGTCTTCATGACTCAGTTGTTCCTTACTTTGGTCTAATCTAAAAAAAAAAAAAATGGAAAACCTGTCATTTTATTTTATGTTTGCTATATACAGTATATTGGTTTCCATAGACTGGGGAATAAAGTACTCTAAGAAGCTGTGTAAAGCAAAATATTAACTGCATATCTTAAGGCAAAGTGCATTGTATGAAGCCTCTGAAATGAACAACTGCAAAGACATCTGTTTTTTCTTTTTCTGCTGTGTGTTAACAAAATGGTTTAAAGCAATACACAAACCCTTTACATGGAGATCTAGTCATACACCCGACGGCCCTTTATTACCGGGGCAATATTGGCTATGACCAGAACTGTCACAGAGAAAGTTGACATACTCCATAGCTCTTTCAATGTTCAGTGAAGGTTCAACTTTTTTTTTTTTTTGGTCATCAGATATGAAAAATATGCCATGTTTGGTATCAAATTGTCTAACTTCGCATACGTGCTTTAGATCTGGTTACAGTGAGATCAGATGTATTTGTAGAAATATATATTGCATTGTCTATTATCAGCCAAGTTTGGGATGCATTTGTCACTTCTTATAAAACTAGATTCTTCATATTCCCCAGGCCTAAAAGCTGAGATTAGCCAGAAGTGTATATAATTTATTAAAGGGGTAAAAAAAACAAAAAAAAAACCTAAACTTTTGAAATTGATTTTGCGATCTGGCTCATGTAGCATTGGTTTATTACTTTTCACACCAAAGGCTCTCTTGAGACTGGGGGGGGGAAGCTGTTACTTGGCTATGACTGAGTACTATGGTTTTATTTTATTTTCTTCCTTTATTTTATCTGGTGTAATTTGTAATATATTTGTATGCACTGTGACTAATTTTGCACATAATAAATGTTCGTGTTTTAGGTTCTGCTTTTGTCAGTTATTAAAATTACATAGCAAGAGTATTATAATAGTATTTGTACATTTAAATAGATTATTGGTCATTTATTTTTTAATTTTTAACTGTCTTGGAGGTGACTTATAATAGGATAAGTTTAGTGGTGTTAACATGGAAATTATGTCTATTTAGGGTTTTGTGTGTGTGTGTATATGTTACTGGTATATGTATATGTATGTGTGTCTTGATCAAGCCTCAAATGGCCTGGTTTGTAAAATTGGATACGACCCACCCAAGAGCTTACTTTCAAGAATATAAATGTTGTGAGACAAGCAATGCACACTGGAATAGGGTTGGCACAGCTAAAAAGTCAGTCTCCCATGAAATGTTAGATTAGAGTTCCCAGTGCCCTCGGCAAGATGCTGGCTTGAATCTCCATTTTAAAACTATGGGCGCTTCTGTGAGTGGTGTGTAGTAACCGTGTGTCTCTGAAAGCTGTGTGTGTATAAGGGAGTTTAAGTGGTGTGTGTGTTTTAACATGCCCCCCATTCTCCATACCCTTTGGTAAGAAGGGATATTGGTCATAGGCTGTTGTCTTGTCCAACAAATGGGTAATCAGACTCTCTGACTTTTCCTACCTGATAATTCCAAGGCATGTACAGACTTAAACAAGAGTACTTGCCACTTAGATTAAAAAATCAGACTTTCAATAAGGAGGAGATTTTGAGTGCAATAAATAGTGACTTTCTTGTCATCTTTTGGGATGGGAAGTTGTTGCTCTCAGGGCACTTGTGTTGCATGCAGGTTCGAAGTAGTAGATGTTAAAGACTACTCCAAACACCATGACACCATCCGTAATCAATGTGATCATGGTGCCTATAGTCTGTATGTGCAGCCTTTTGCTATACATAAGGACTTTAACCTCTCTGCTGCTGAAGGTGTAACTCCAACTCTGGCAAAGTCATTGGAGTGTCATCAGTCAGTCCATAACTAGAGTTCCATGCTGGCTAATGTCAATTTTGTGTAACTTACATTGTACAGAATTGCATTAATTGGTGGATAGCAGTCAGTGGACATATACTATGTATAATGCTGTATCATCTCTGCTTTTCTATTTGATTTAAATTTAACATTCTTCATAACTAAAATGCTGCATTCCTTTTATTACATTTGTAGCCCGTCTCGGCACTTTCTAGTGCCATAAAATCCTCATTTAGAACAGGTGCCCAAAATTGCACAGCATGTTTAAGGTGTGGTCTTACCACTGACTTGTAAAGAAGCAAAGTTATATTTCTATCCTTAGAATGCCCCCCATTTAAACATGACAATACCTTACTGGTCTTGGCAACTGCCGATTGACATTGCACATTGTTGCCTAATTTGTTTTCTATAACCATTCCTAAATCCTTCTCTTGTGTTATCCCCAATTCTCTACAACTTAGAGTGTAAGATGCTTGTGCATTCTTTACCCTGAAATGCATAACTTTGCATCAATCGATGTTAATGTCAATGCCCAGTCTCCCAATACATCTAAATCCCTGAATTCCTGAAAATTATCCCTTAATAACCCTTATGATAATTGGAGTAACCCTTTAATGATGTTGGTGGAACTGGCTTGTATGAAAGAGTTCACACTTTTAAGGCCTCTTCTAAGGATAGAATCATTATAAATAGGTCAGGCTACTTGTGTTGTAAAGGTATTGTAACGGAACCGCTGGCAGCCTGATCGGGTACCTTCTGCTGACGGATGCCCCTAGTGCTTTCCGAGGACTCCAAGCACTCTGCCCGACACCATAACCACTGCAGATCCCACGAACCGCCGCAGCTTGGTTGGGATCTCGCTGTCTCCACCCACTCTGGACCCAAGACCAGGGTCCAGCTTCCAGTAGGTCGACCTCTCTCCGAATTCCAGAGAACAGGAACAAGCTCTTAGCAGAGCTTAGTGATTATACCCTGGGGAGTATAGTGATTATAGCAATCCCCAGAGTGTAGTTCTCCAGTCCCCCAAACATGTACCTTCATGAAGTTTCGGCTCATGTTTGGGGGATTGGAGAACTACACTCTGGGGATTGCTATAATCACTATACTCCCCAGGGTATAATCACTAAGCTCTGCTAAGAGCTTGTTCCTGTTCCTGCTCTCTGGAACTCGGAGAGAGGTCGACCTACTGGAAGCTGGACCCTGGTCTTGCGTCCAGAGTGGGTGGAGATGGCGAGACCCCAACCAAGCTGCGGCGGTTCGTGGGGTCTGCAGTGGTTATGGTGTTGGGCAGAGTGCTTGGAGTCCTCGGAAAGCACTAGGAGCCTCAGTCAGCAGAAGGTACCTGGTCGGGGTGCCAGCGGTTCCGTTACAGGTATGCTATACCCTTTTTAATATTTCCTTATAAACAATTTAATTCCACAAAAAATTAAATCAAATTTACTTCTCTACTGTCCCTTGCTTAATGATACTCTTATGAACAGCTTTATGCCTTTTTAAATCTCCTATCTCGTGGTTCCTCCTCCAATATTCTGCTATCTGTGTTCTTGGAACTGTGTAGGTCTGAATCTGTATAGGAAATGTATTAATTTTTTTTTTTTTTTAATTTTTTTCAATATCTAATTTTGAATTGTAATTTTACCTCCTCCACTCTGCCATGCTTTGCAGTCACTCCTGAAGCTAGTGACATATTGCTTAGTTTTGTACATTACACAAAATCTTTTTAAAATCTATATAATCAACCTTCCTGCGCCACTATTTTCTCTGGTGGCTATATAAGCGGACTACATTCACTAATGAGTCCTAGCGCTATATTATGTCAATTTAATTGCAGTTTTCTTGACCCAGTGGTACCAAATCCTTCCTAGCAGATTAGGGTTATATACTTAAAAAGTTAGTATGTTGAAGTTTTTAAATGTCTTAAAAATCTAATTCCCTTTGTTAAGGGAATGAATATACATCTGGAATTTGAACTTTTCAGATTTTGAAATTGGATGTTTTTTTTTTTTTTGCTGCAAAGAACACTCCTTTTAATTAGTGACTTCAATAATTAATGGGAATGTTTTATGAGCATATTTGGTCCTTGAATTAAAGGGACACTAAAGACACTCATCCCACTTCAATGTAGTGGTCTGGATGCAGTGCCTTTGCCATTCTAACATTGCTGTTTTTGTCAGTCAATGTTTAACACCCCTCTAGAGGCTGTTTCTGACCGCCACTAGAGTCTTTCTCTTTCTGTATTGGGGCAGCATGGTGTTTTGCCCCCACAGGAGCACTTACCTCCTAATATTTCCTTATGGGGTAGCATTTTACTGGATCATCAGTCAGCAGGGAGACAAAGTGTGGAGATGGGCAGAAAGGTGACATGGGTGGGGGGGAGGGGCGCGAAACACGAAAGAAAAAAACAAAACTTGCTCACATTTTGCAACTATATGAAATTGACACCGCCAGTAATAAGATCCGAAAGTATTGCTCAGACTGTCACAAAGACACTCAAACACATGGGTATTGCGAAAGTATTCTTAAGTATGGGTTAGCACTATAGTAAATTGCAGAAGTATTTATTTGCATTACCCAACTTGAAAATGGTTGGTTGTGTATGAAAATGATGGACAATAATGATTTTCATATAATTTTATAAAATGTTTAATTTAATTCGGTGGTTGCTGAGGTTGCGAGTATGACCAGGCACTTGTATTCCACCTGTCACAGAGGGCACAAGAGGTGGCCAACTGGCCACTTTAGGGCCTCCCGAGGCAGGCACTTATTCAAGTCAGAGTAGGCACCGGGAGAAGAGAGGTGCCTACTCAGCTGAAATATACCGGGAGAAGAGAGGAGGCAGGCTTCGAGGGAGATATGATATTCTTGCACTTTCTCACTGTTGCCTTGCGATTGCGTTGGCAGAACCAACCTCGCCACTGGAGGAGCCTGGTCACCCGCCTCCTGCCGCTGGACTATGGTCCCATGTTAAAAACCTTTTTTATTTTCCCTGCAGAAAGGCTTATTTGTGCCTTTCTGCCTTGGCGTTCGGTAGATTGAATCTACCGAACAAACTACCAACCGATCGACCACCTGGGAACTGGAGTGTGCCATCAATTAACCGCAGCTTAATCGACGACCACTGGGTGGCCTTTGTTAGTTTACCGATCACGTGGCAGCGGCCATTTTAACCCCTTAAGGGCCAAACTTCTAGAATAAAAGGGATTCATGACATGTCACACGTCATGTGTCCTTAAGGGGTTAAACTCCCGAACGGCCAGCGGTGTTCAGCTCCAAATCTATGGAACTCAAAACGGACACTTATTTGCACGAACACCACTGAGCAGCCGACTTCCCTTCTCCTGCAAAGAAACGAACACCGGTTCATTCGGGACTTTCATTATGTGACAATGTTACCCCAGATAGTTATGCCATGGAGCCCATTCGTATACCGAAAGACTGTATGAAAGACTTTGGCTCCATGGCAATTGAACTATGTGTATGTGATCTGAGCGCCATTCGGTAATAATGTGCGCTCAGATCTAAGCTATCTGGGGATATGTTAAATGTATATGTTTTGTGTAATATTTGCAACATTGTATATTTTAGTCTTTTTGGTAGCATGTGCTTAATTGAGTTTGCCTCTGTACTTGGAGATAATTTAATTCCCAATTATCTCCAGGACAGAGAGGAGGGATTGCAAAGCATTGTGGGATTTTTTTAAATGTGTAAGCTTTTGATAGATCCTTTTACCCTTTGTGTCCCAGTTTCCCATCTGGTGGGAGACCTGCATAAAAGCCAGGCAGGTAGCCCCAGTTAATCCGTTCTGCTTGATCCTCAAACGAAGTGTCGTCTCGTTCCTGGGGGGAATTGGATTGGATGCTGTTACAGTGCGACTGCCAGGAGTGTAAACTGTTCGTATGTTTTTTCCTGTTCGGCTGTTTAACAGCATTCGTATGTTTCCTGTTTGGAATTTGGAGAATTCGTGTGTTTGCAGTTCGGGAGATTGGTGATTGCAGTAGCTGCCTGTGCATCTGAAAGGGGAATATCACCTAAACGGTTTTAAACCTCTAGTGTGCAAAAGGTCCGTTACATTTGCCCTGTGGTGATACCAGGAGCCAGAATGTCACTCAAGCTCGGACATCACTAAACAGCCAGTGATTGGGCAGTGAGGAAGAGCAAGAAGATTACTGGAGCCACTGGATTCCACGTAAAGGACCCACACTCGCTCTCCCAAAAGCACAGTGGCTGGATGGGCATAAAAAAAACCCCACTAATTAAATTGACAGTAAATAAATGTTTGAATATGTAAATGTACTTGTCCTACGGTGTCAAATTAATGAGTATGTCTGTCAGTAAAAGTGTTTGTCATTAGTGTGTGCCAATGACTGCATGTCTGATTCTTGCACCAGACCCCTGCAATTCCTTGTTAATAGTATATTCTGTTAATACAAAGATGGATAAATTGAAGCCACATGCAATAATGGTAAACTATTACTGATGCAGGATCTAGTTTAATTTAAAACCATTTTACTTTTATTGCATATTGAGTAAGTGGACTAAGATGACCTATTCGGGAGTCCCAAATGCATTATAAAACAAATATAATCCAAAGTATATAATTATGTAGTTTTTGGGAATGTGAGCATATAAGTACTGAGTAAAATGACATGTAATACAAAAACTACTCGTGGTTTTCTTTCATAAAGAAGACTTCTGCTCAAAGAGTCTTTCAAAAAAAAAAAAAAAAAAAAAATGTCAAATGGAAAAATTGAACATACACTAATCAGTCACAACATTAAAACCACTAACTGGTGAAATGAAAAACATTGATTATATTGTCATAATGACACTTGTCAAGGGGTGGAATCTATTGGGCAGCCAGTGAACTCTCAGTTCTTACGTTTCATGCGTTGGAAGCAGGAAGAATGGGTATGCGAAAAGAGCTGAGTAACCAAATAGTGATGGCTAGATGACTGGGTCAGAGCATCTCCAAATAAACAAGTCTTGTAGGTTGTTATGCAGCATTTTGCACGAACAATAGTGGTGCAAGGAAGGGCAACCAGTGTACTGGCATCAGGATCTTGGGTGCCCAGGGCTCATAGGTGCCTGTGGCTAGCCTGTCTGGTCCAATTACACAAGAGCTATTGTAGCTCAAATAGCTGAATAACCTAATTCTGGCCAGGATAGAAAGATGTCCTCACACACTGTGCATTATAGTTTGCTGCATAGCTGCAGACCAGTCAGAGTGCCCATGCACTGGACCACTGCCAAAAGCACCTTTAGTGAGGATATAAGTGTAAGAACGGGACCATAAAGCAAAGGAAGAAGGTTGACTGCTCTTGAGTCCAGTTTTCTTTTTTATTGGAATAGATGGATGGCCAGGTGAGAAACTTACCTGGGAAAAATATGGCAGCAGGATGCACTATGGGGAGAAGGCAGGCTGATGGAGGCAGTGTTCTGGGAAAACTTGGGCCTTGGCATTCATGTGGATGTTACATTGACAAGTACCACCAACTGAGAGATTGTTGCAGACCACGTACACCCATTCATGACGATGGTGTTCCTTGATGACAGTGACTTCTTTCAGCAGGATAATGCACCCTTGCGCAAACATTGAACTGCAAAAGCTTTTCAGGAATGGTTTGAGGAACATGACAAGGAGTTCAAGGTGTTAAATTGACCTCCAAATTACCCAGATCTTATTCAGACTGAGCATCTGTGGGATGTACTGGAACAACAAATACAAACCATGGAGGCCCCACGTCTCAACTTACAGGACTTAAATGATATGCTGCTAATGTCTTGTTGCAAGATAACACAGGGCACATTCAGAGGTCTAGTGGAGTCCATGCCTTGATGCATCAAATCATTTTTGATAGCAGAATGGGGACCTACATGATATTAGGCAGGTGGTTTTAATGTTGTGGGTGATTAGTGTATCTTGTAAAACACTGTATGGGTTTAGAAAGCCATTAATGAAACTGCCCTGCCCCAGCCTCTATTAATTTACTAATTTAGCTTTTCCCCTCTCCCCCTATAATTTAATGAGCGAGGCAATGGGAGTGACTTTGCATTAACATAGTAGGTAATCATTGTATAACAAATCTATT